TGAATGATTTATCATTTCAAGCAAAGCAGTAACAAAAATCTTTACACGCCATGAAAATAACATATTCAGAAGTACAGCACTGAGTTTATAAGACATGCCACAGAACTATGAACTGACATTGAAAGATCTGATTTAGAACTTTGACTAAATTTTACATAAAAAATACAACCATAATACCATTGAGCTTAATAGGTACCTGTCCTTGAGACCATAAAGGATCCAAGTCCTGGAAAAAACAAACAAAACAACACTAACAACAGCAATATCAACAAAAACAACAAAAAGAAAATGAACAAATCAAAAGTTACTCCAAAGATATTGTACTATACAACGTTCAGGATCGTTCAAAGCCCGTGGCCCGTGTTCAAGTATTGAGAAACTGTCGAACCTCAGAATTTTTCGTTTATTTTTCTATGTTCCACGTTCCCTACTAGACGAAAATCTTTTTTCCCGTTTCACTTATGAGCTTAAAAATTCACAACACGTATTTGCTAAAGGTTTTCTAGTTCAAAGCATTTTTTCTGTCATTAATGCTGCAGCCTCCAATAACACACCTTGCATGAACATTCTACAGTTCTTTCTTAGGTTGTAGGGAGACTGTTTTCTCACTCAATTATATAAATAATGTCGAATCGTTTCTCAAGAAGATGTCATGAGCAAACACGCCATATTTCTCGGTCGTGAACATGAAAAAGGCCAATTCTTGGATCTTTAAAAATACAAAAAAAATAAAAGAAAATGGAACTCGAGTAGTTCTCCCTTTTCGGCTAAGTCCGTAGCGCGAGTCAAAAAAAAAATATAATAAAACAAAAATCAGTCATCACAAAACACAATGGAAAGTCAGGGGCTGCAAGCGATGAAACACAGTTAATAACACATCTACGATGTAATGAAGAAGATTAAGGAAGTTCAGGTAGTAAGTTCATATAAATACTGCAGTGTGTTCAAAATGAACACGACATGAAGCTCAGTTCCTGAAATGTTCCCAAGTTAACCCATTTGACGTACCTGTTTATGTTCACTAGTGAGAATAAATATGGTTGATTAGCCAGTGCGAAATTTCTACGTTAAAATTAAATTTCTTCTAAAGAGCAACCAAACATACCTTGGTATCAGCTTCGGACATTCTCCTACGCATGTTTTTAATCAACACCCAATCAGTGTACTAGGAAAATAATTAAAAACACTCATGCCTCTCAAAATAACATCAGAATGAGACTTAGCTCTTATTAACCGAGCGGGAGGTCTGTATGGGAGAATCTTGACCGAGGTCGCCAATACAGACCGAACGCAGTGAGGTCTGTCCCAGCGACCGAAGTCAAGATTCTCCCATACAGATCGACCTAACTCGGTTAATAAGATGTTTATCATATGGCTGTGTCTTATACGCCAATTTTTTATATTCTTTGTACCTTTTTTTCTGGACTGGTCTAGATGCCGGTCTAGATGGGAAAATCTACACCGCTTTTAATATTGATTTCAGCCAATCAAATTCGTCATCACAAAACACAATGGAAAGTCAAGGGCTGCAAGCGATGAAACATTGTTAATAACACATCTGCGATGTAATGAAGAAGATTAAGGAAGTTCAGGTAGTAAGTTCATATAAATACTGCAGTGTGTACAAAATGAACACGACATGAAGCTCAGTTCCTCAAATGTTCCTAAGTTAACCCATTTGACGTACCTGTTTATGTTCAATAGTGAGAATAAATATGGTTGATTAGCCAGTGCGAAATTTCTACGTTAAAATTAAATTTCTTCTAAAGAGCAACCAAACATACCTCGATATCAACTTCGGATATTCTGCTACGCCATCTTTTAATCACCACCCAATCAGTGTGCTAGGAAAATAATT